GATTTTACCCCACGGATTCTAGAGCTGGGCTTGTGACCCATTTAGTATTGGTGCCAGAACATCTGAAGTCAAATTTGGGACCACTCTACTGAAAACGCTCACCTTAGCTTTCGGACTTTAGGGCAGTGGCTTAAATAAACTGTGTTTCCTGGAGACCTAGACATGACCCCTGGCTTACCTCTAGAGAAGAGCATGGAGAGGCCTTGTATATATAACACCCATACCCCTGATTCACTTTCTGTTTCCACTCTTTGTTTTTTCTGTGACCTGTTTCTAAGTTATGCTCTTGCTGGAAGCACTGCTCCTGGGGGAAGCCTGTTCATCCTGTCTTTCCCGGCCATGGGCCTGGGGGAGGTTGAGGACCCAGAAGGGGTACCATGGGGGGGGGCTGTCCTGTGCACAGCAGGATGTGCAGCGGTACCCCTGGCCTTTGCCCCTAGATGCTAGGAGCATCCCTCTCCCCAGATGTGACAATCAGGAATGCCTCCAGACCTGGCCGATGTCCCCTGATTGAGAACCACCACTCCTGGTTCTTCTGCTCCTACAAAGCCAGTCTGCAATTACAACAATTTTTCAGCCCAGGAGAGACGGCATCCCTGGGCCAGAGGGAGCCAGGGGGGTACAGCCCTCATCCTGGCTTGGTAACCCTCTCACCTACCAGCCACCTCGGTGTCTTTCCTCCAGGCAGCACTGAACTTTCCAGCTCCGACCTTCAGGTCCTGAGTTGATAATCCCATTACAACTAATCCTGTTTACGGCCACTCTTTGGCAGAACAGCCCTGTCCGGACCTTTCCTTGCCACCCACTGTTCTTGCTGCTCCATTGTTACCGGGGACTGTGGCCTGGCTGTGTATAAGCTTTCACTGATAGGGCTTATCCTGTTTATGGGGGGGGGGGGGGGTTGTTGCAGGGGGGCCTGAGCACATACTCCCACCCCTCCCTTCAGTAAATGACTCCCTTTGATCTGTAAGGCAACATAGTGCTTTGCAGAAGCTGGGCTTCCTCTAGCTGATGGTGGGGACATCCTGTCCCAGAAAACGCCCCGAAATAACACTTTCTGAATTTCAGAATATTTCCAGGTTTCTCTCTCTCTCTCTCTTTTTTTTTTCCCCCAGGGTTATCTCTTTATGGCAAGTGAAGAAAGGGGCTGATTTTAGTTTTTGGAGCCCAAGGCAACGCAAAGCTGAATGGTTTTCTGCAAGTCACCACCGGACAGGAGAGACAGGACTGATGACAATGTAAACATTTGGAATTAGGACAACGTACAAGATAAGGGCTGACCAGGTGAGGTCCCTTTGTGTTATTAATTTAAAATTTAAGTTATCTAACAAGGTGAAAAAGAGGTCATGGGTGGTGTTAGTCGCCTGAATAACAGGATGGTAGAAGTTAGTTCAATTATGCAGATGAATAATAAGTGGAATTTTACAACTTTCTTAGCTTTTAAGAAGCCGCCAGGTGAAGACAGATTCTCCATCTACACCAGTGGTTCTCAAAGTGGGGTCCCTAAATCCAGCAACATCGCAGGGGAACATTTAGAAATGTCAATTCTGAGGCCCCACCCCCCGATGCTGAATTGACTGACAGCTCTGGAGGCGGGGCCAGCAATGTGTGCGCTAAGTCCTCCCGGTAATTCCGAAGCATGGCTGAGCTTGAGAACTACCCATTTACCTGAATTACCCTCAAACTGCAGGGTGCGTAAGAATAACTCAGGAAACTGACTGAAATGCCAATTCCCAGACCCCATCCCTGATTTCCTTGGTCTAGGGTGGGCCTTGGAAGTGGGCCTTGTTAATGAGCATCCCAGCATGATTTGGAGACAAGGGGTCCAAGGCCCACGCTTAAGGAAGCACTGACCTATATACTCAGGAGCAGTAGAAATTTTCCAGAGTGCTCCAGTCCTATTCTGAAGGGACTCCCTTCAGAGCTAAGAATGAGCAGATATCACAATTCATCTGCCCCCCCGCCCCCGCAAGTCGTTCTGTGAAGCTGTCTGCTAGGATTACCTATTGTAGCAGGTGGTCCTTTTCAGGATTACTCCAATACTAGAAGGTAGACTGGCCCCATCAGTTCCTTTCACGCTGACATCTGAAGCACTGGGCTAACTCCTAACCTGGGTTGGGCTCACACCGCTGGCCTGGAAGCAAAAGCTTTTTATCCCATTACTAGTTCCTTGAACCACAATCCAAGACATGGCTAGGTTTTCCCAGGAGTTTCATTTTGCACAGCTGAAGCATTCCAGTCATTGTTGGGATGCATTTCCTTCTCCTCTTTCCTTCCAGCCCCTGGACTACGCCATATGTGCATATACAGGCTCCTAGGATGAACATCCTCGAATCCTAACCTCTCTCCCAGAAGCTGGGCCTCCCACCAGTGCCCGGCTCTTCTCTCGGCAAAACCGCATTTGCCAAGACTACTCTCAACTGAATCCCAGCTCAGAGAGGCAGCTGCTGGGTCTCAGACATCAGCTTCCAGGTAAAGTATTGCTGTGATTTGTCTCCTGCCTTCCTGGCTTTGGTCTCCCACGTCCCTTTAGATTTCTTACCACCCCACTTTTCTGCCACTTCTCAGGGTATCTCAGGACTCTTGGCTCTCCACTAATGAAAAACAGTATCTCTCATATGGCTTAATGTGATCCATTCTCAACAGACTCTTTTTTCAGTCAGTCTTTGGCACCCTACGGAGATGGTCATCCTTTGTCCCCACTCACTACAACCTCACTTGCCTCTATTTGGAGCCCCACGTCGTAATGGATGGGGTTCCTGTAGAGCCACTGTGTACAGTTGTGCAGTTTGTGCACTGCACAAAGACAGGGGGCAAGTATAGACTAAAATCCAGCTGACATTCTGTTCACCAAGATGAATGCCTGACACTGTGCTGTGGACATCTGGAAGACAGTGAGTGTACTGTTGTTGTTTTTTTAATGACAAATATTTATATAAATACATAATTACATAAAATTACCAGCTGAGACTAGATTAATGTGTTTTGCTGTCATCTCATTGTTTATGTGAAAATGAAGACTTTCCGAGTGCTTGAAAATATTTTATGGGAACTAGTTAACTCATAAAATTTTATTTCTTAGAGCAGTTTTAGGTTTACAGAAAAACTGAGCAGAAAGTATAGAGAGTTTCCAAGTACCCCTACCCACTCCCTCCCATGTCCCAACCAGTTTCCCCTATTACAATATCTTGCAATCACGTGGCCCCTGTGTCATAACTGATGAACTATACTGATAGATTATTACGAACTAAAGTCCATTGTTTATATTAGTGTTCACTCTGTGTTGTAGATCCTCCTGGTTTTGAGAAATGTAAAGTAACATGTATTCACCATTTTTGTATCCTATAGAATCTTTTCACCAAAAAAATTCCCCAAACACCCCTCCTCCCTCGCTCACTTCCCTTCCCCAGTCCTGGGAAACCACTGAGCTTTTTTTTTTTTTTTTTCATAGTTTTGCATAAGGTACACTTTTATCTTTGTACAGAGGAATATCTATCTACCAGCCAAAACCACAGGGATGCTTCTGCCCAGAGTTGCATCATATTTAAAACTTAGCCACTGCCTTGCATCTAAGATCAAACCCCTTTCAAGATCTTTCCCTGGGTCGTTTCAGTGTATCTCATCTCCCTCGTGTCTCCTACTCTAGTGCCTCCTTTTTCTGATCAGCATTACCTTGTGCTACCCTTTTCCCCATTCATTCCTCCCTCCCCTTCAGTGCTGCCCAAAGTAACGTTCTGCAGTGATGAAAATGTTCTACCTCTGTACACGTCAATACAGTAACCGTAGATTCATGTGGCTATCGAGCACTTGAGATGTGGCTAGTGTGATGGAGGACCTGGGTTTTTTAAATTCTATTTAATTTTAATAATTTCAACGGAACTAGCCCTGTGTGGCAACGGGCTATTGTATCGGACAGCCCAGGTCTAAGTTTTTGCCTCTGCCAGATCACCCTCCATGATAGCATTCATAAACTTTCCCCTTACCTTATACTTGAAGTCCTCCCCACCCCCTGGAATCTTCCCTAGTTAGGAAAGAAACAGAATGCTGCCTAAACCCTTGCTGGAATACAGAGCTCCCATGTTCATCACCATCAAATATGCTCATATTCTTCTCTTAAAACATCCTATTAAGAGAGCTTACCAAATTTCTTTAATTTATTAGGCTCTTCCGTATTCCTTGTCCATACATTTTTACATCTCCCACTGTTAAATGTTCTCTGTTCAAAACTCTCTACTCCTAGGAACCAGAGTAGAATTACACAACTCCTGTTTTAGTTGGCAATAACTACAAGCCATTGTTAGTGTTGATCCATGTCATTTTAGTTGATTGTGGCACAATATTTAAGGCACGAAAGAAGAAGAGAAGATACAATAACAACAAAAGACACTAAGACTTTCAGTTCCGGAGTCAGCATGAGGTGAGTAGGGAGCTCTGGGCCGCGGCTCTGGGGAGGCTGGAGTTCTCAGGATATCTGTGCCACCAGCAGGCCCTCGACGTTAGTCATATCGCTTCATCTCTCAGGGACTCAGCTTTCTCCTGCATGGCATGCAGGCTTTTCACCAGATGCTCCAATTTAAGGTCTCTCCCAGACGAAAGTGCTCCGCGGGTCAAAAGTCGTCTGAGAATAACTAGGAAAGTTGAAACCACTTTTGTCGCGCAGAATATTTCACACAATCCCACCCCCACCACCCCCTTCCCCAACTAGCAATGTTTGGGATGAGCCCATCAACTTTGCTAAGGACAAGACCAAAACAATATTTCAAGAGCCAACAAAACCCAGGTCAGAGTGAGTCACTGGTCCTGACTCTAGTAGCAAAACTGACCACAAAAGTTGTGCATAGTCTATATGGTGTCCTTAAAATATCTGCACAAACCTTTTATTTCCAGTGCTTTGAACAGAAATAAACACAGTCTTTAATCCAATTTCTACATTCCACAGATGAAAAGTGGAAGTAGAAACGTGGATGCCCTGGCTGAGTAGCTCTTACCTACGTGCCCATGTGAGTGGTCAGTTAAATGCCTGGTCTCTGTTACATAAGCAGCAGCAAATCTCTGCGTTTAAAACTGGGGTGAGTTGTGCTGAAGTGAAATCTGTGTTCTGGAACTCTGAATGTGCACATAATTACCACTTAGGCTTCCAAGAGAAATTGTTTTGCTAATGGCAACTAAAATGTGACATGCCCCAGAGTGAAATAATTGATTCTTAACTTGGGAGGGTCTGAGTAGATTGTCCTCAGCTTAATGCCTCACTGTCTTCCCTTTGTGTTGCAACACCACACGTCCATTGCCCCATGTGTACAATAGGACAGTGTGGTGACCAGTGACAGGAGGACAGAGCCCTGCTAACCCTTCCTCCAGAGTCTTTGCCACCATTGCCATTAGACATTTGTTTATATCCTCGCTCGTCTACTGTCTCTCTTGACTAGACTGCAAGTTCCAGACAGACAGGGGTCATGTCCGTTTCTGCTCAGAGCCTGGCATGTAGTAGGGAGTCAACAAAAATCTTTTGAATAAAGCAGGTAAGCCCTTTGCAGCCTCTGCAGTCAAATCCTGGGCCTGGATCTGGTGTTCTTGGACAAGAAGCTTCCCTGTCTATGCCTTAGATTCCTCTTCTGTAAAGGAGCATAATAGTGGCACCGACTTGATTGAATAATTGTGAGAATTAAGTGAGATAGTACCTACAAAGAGCTCAGAACGGTGTCTGATACACAGTGGTAAGTGTTCATGATTTTTAATGATGATGGTGATGATGATAGTTGACGTGTAACAAGCACTTCATAAATGATAGTCCTTCTTCTTATTATTACTACTGTTCTTGAAAGAGTATTTGCTCATTGAAATACCAGTTATCTGGAGGCCCTCAGTTACACATACGATAGCGGGACCGCTGCTTTCCTTTTAAACTCTGTGCCAGGCACGAGGGGAGAGACAGTGTGTCAAAGGAGATACCAACGTGATGTTCACAACAGCACATGGGTGTCTAGGGCCCAAGGGAAGTTACTGAACGTTTTCCCTACATTCATCCTTCTCTTACCACCTTGTCCCCTCCACCCTCCACTCATCTCGATTTGGCCAATTGTCCCCGAAAGCCCCCAGCTTACAAATCAGCCTCCCTTATAGGATCTCGCTTCCCATCACAGTTAAAAGATGCTTTTCAGCAATCTCTTCTCTTGTGGAAATAATTTATTGCCAGAAAGTAAACAATAGAAACCTATATTCCTATATTCAGGAAAGGAAGGGAAGTTAAGAGAAAAGGCTTGAGGCTAATTCTAGATCCTACATTTACTAACTGAGTCACCTCTGGTAAGTTACTAGATTAACTGTGTCTCAGAATAGTATCAGGTGGGACCCCAAAGATACCAATGGAGGGACCCGAAGGGGTACGTGCACCCCGATGTTTACAGCAGCAACGTCCACAACAGCCAAACTGTGGAAGGAGCCAAGATGTCCGTCGACAGATGAATGGATAGAGAAGAGGTGGTATATATACACAATGGAATATTATGCAGCCATCAAAAGGAATGAGATCTCGCCATTTGCAACGACGTGGATGGAACTGGAGGGTGTTATGCTGAGTGAAATAAGTCAATCAGAGAAAGACATGTATCACATGACCTCACTGATATGAGGAATTCTTGATCTCAGGAAACAAACTGAGGGTTGCTGGAGTGGTGGGGGGTGGGAGGGATGGGGTGGCTGGGTGATAGACATTGGGGAGGGTATGTGCTATGGTGAGCGCTGTGAATTGTGTAAGACTGTTGAATCACAGACCTGTACCTCTGAAACAAATAATACATTATATGTTTTAAAAAAGGAAGAAGAAGATAGCAGGGGGGAAGAATGAAGGGGGGTAATCGGAGGGAGAGACAAACCATGAGAGATGATGGACTCTGAGAAACAGAGTGGGGGTTCTGGAGGGGAGGGGGGTGGGGGGATGGGTTAGCCTGGTGATGGGTATTGAAGAGGGCACGTTCTGCGTGGAGCACTGGGTGTCATGCACAAACAATGAATCATGGAACACTACATCCAAAACTAATGATGTAATGTATGGTGATTAACATAACAATAAAAAATTTAAAGAGGAAGAAAAAAAAAACAGTGGTGGCCCTAAGGAAGTGGAAAGATATATTCAAAGACCTGGAGGTGGAGGGATGACAACCAAAAATTCTAAACCCATCAAACTCTATCCCTCAAAAATTAATTTGAAGTATATTCCAAAATAAAGACTGAGAGAATTAAAAAAAAAAAGAATAGTATCAGGTGGGAATAATCAATATATGATCTACCTCCTGGGCTTATGAACATTAAATGAATATGTAAAGGGCCTAGTTCCAATTAAAATAAGAGAGTTTCTAAATTGTGAAACATAGAAAATTTGCCACCCCCACCCCCTTACCCCCCGCCCCGCAACCCTGCAACTCTAGCTATTCTGAGTTTCCAAACTCATCTGGGAGATTTAGCTAGGGCTTTTTCCTTTCTCCCTGACTCCCTTTTTAAAGGGTGGGGCTACTTCCTGTTGGAGGACAGAGAACAAGGGGGCGCACACACACACACACACACACACTTTCTTCTTTGCCTTCTGACTCCTTTTCTAATTTATAAATAAAATTTGAATAATGCTATAATTTCATTTCAATATTTCCCATATACTATTCTTTAATGGAATAAGGTCATCAAAATCTTATCCTTACTCCCTATCCAATTTTCTGGATTTAATGACACTAGATTTGAATATTATGGCATTTTATTTATTTTATTTTAAAGATTTTATTTATTTGACAGAGAGAGACACAGCGAAAGCAGGAACACAAGCAGGGGGAGTGGGAGAGGGAGAAGCAGGCTTCCCGCTGAGCAGGGAGCCAGATGCGGGGGAGCAGGGAGCCAGATGCGGGGCTCGATCCCAGAACCCTGGGACCATGACCTGAGCCAAAGGCAGACGCTTAAAGACTGAGCCACCCAGGCGCCCCTATGGCATTTTAATGAGCAAGTTTGGCCCATGTAATTTGGGATTCAATTTCATTTATTTGAGAACTGTTATTAAAATTGGATTATCTTTAATAAGCAAATCCACTTTGATCCTTTTTTATTTTTTTTTACAATTAAGGAACAGTCACTTTAATATTCATATTTCTTTGAACTATGCATTACTATTTCTCATTTGAACATGATCTAGCAAGATCAGTAGTTAACTTGTAAAATAAATAAATAAATGGGGGGAAGGGGTTAGTATGACACTTAATGAAGGCAGTATCCCAAAGAACAAAATCATAAAAAATGAGAACAGTATCCTAGAGCTCCTCTGTGCTAAAGTAAAATTAATACTAAAAAATGGTGCATGATCTGATCCATTTTATTCTGATGGGTAGGATGTATAAAAACTTTGCTAAGCTATAGATTCATGGTTTAGAGAGATGATTGGGTAGATGATTTAGAAAAAAAAATACAAAGCCCAGAGCATTTCATAAACCTTACTAGAGCAAAGTGACTTCTAGAGAAAAATTTTCAGGCAAATCCCAAGTTCAAGTCTTAATGTAGCTTTTAACCAATGCGAAGACTTCCCTGAGCATTGAAAGGACTCAGTCTAGCAGGTGCTTGATTCATTCGTAGGGATTTAAGCGCTTTTTAAAAAGATACTCAAAGACCAAAGCAAAAACAGCCTCTGAATTTTATAAATATTTTATTTTTTTACTTATCTGTCTGAGCGAAATCAGATGTCCTGCGGATAGCTCTAACTACATACAACTTTTGACCTAAAGGGCAAAAAAGGGGGGAGGGGGAGGAAAGAAAAAACATGCTTTGGGATTTAGTTAGAATTGAAAATCCATTTCCTTTCTAAGTAGCAATGACTTCTGTAGGGCTTTTCAACAATGAGGCTGGTTAAAAAATAGTTAAAACTGTGGGGAACGATTGGACAGTCTCATATCATGTCATATAGCGTATTCTTAGTTTCCAAATCGTTTCCCTCAAGCCCCTTCCCCTTCCCTGCTTCTCGTTCTCCCTTTGCCAGGAGCATCTCCCCGCTCAGAGAGAAACTGCTTGGCTGCGTGGCCCCGAGAGTTTGGTTCCCAGGACAGATGCTGGTCTCCCACTTCTGGAGCTTTTTACCTATGTGACCTTCAGCTAGTGGCTTAACCGTTTGAACCTCGGTCTACCCACCTGCAACAGGGGACTCACTCCGCAAGATTGTTGTTAGAACCAAATCAGACAGTGGGGACTTTGCTAGCTGACAGCGGTTTCCCCAGGGCCCCCAGTTGCCATGAACTTTCACTTTGACATAATATTGCAATAGGTCAAAAATCAAGTGGCCTCTGGGACATGTTTTAATGGATGAGGTCAAAAATAGATTCCAAATTCTAGCCTCTGAGAAGGAACAGAGAACAAGTTATAGCTCCTGGCCAGAGCTTTTGAATCCCCTAATGTGGGCCCTGGTACATAGTAAGCACTAGACACATGTGTTTTGAATGTTTTTGAGTGGATTTGATAGAGATAAGGTACCCGGACTAGAATGAAGCTGGTAAAACTAGAAGATAGTAGAGAATGATGGGTTAAGAACAAAGGATGGGAGTCAAGCACATTGGGTTCAAATTCTAGCTTAGGAGTGACTTTGGACAAAGGTGCTTAATTTTTCTGAATCTGGGTTGTTGTTTTTAAGATTTTATTTATTTATTTGAGAGAGAGAGAGCAGGAACAGAGAGAGAGGGAGAAACAGGCTCCTTGCTGAGCGGGGAGCCCGATGTGGGACTCGATCCCAGGACCCTGGAATCATGACCTGAGCCCAAGAAAGATGCATAGCCGACTGAGCCACCCAGGTGCCCTGAATCTGGGTTTAAATCTGATCATTCTTCCTATTCCATGCTCCCAGGTGCACGTGTGTGTGCACACACACACAGGCACACAACGTAGACACACACACACACACAGAAATGACAACAATACCACTCTGAATGGCTTCACACTGCATCCAGGATGAAGTCCTGACCACCAGGTTCTTTCGTTGTCCCCTCCCAGCTAACTCAGCTCCGGCAATAGCGGCCCCGGGCTCTCCAACAACATCTTGTTTCATCTGCCC